CGACGCCAAGCCGAGGGTTGCGATCCCCTTACCGGTCACAAAAAAAATTTGTCCTCTCCTGTTAATTATAATGTAGAATAGTATTTGACACAATATACTTTGCGTAGTGTTAATTTAGTGGTATGTCAAGTGTTATGAGAATATTGGGTTCCATGCGCAATGAAGTTTGAGAAATGCTTTCAGAAAGACACATGTAGAGGACCATGAAACAGAAACTGTGAAGACCAAATGACTCTTCACGGGGGGTCTCAGCCTTTCATAGTGAGCAGGGGTGATTTTAGAACCTTGATGAGTGAACACTGGGGGAACCTACAGCAGGAGCTTGTCTGCCAGGAAGTGGTTAAAAACTAATTAGTGCTGATTAGGCTACAGGAAAAGGCTGATGCAGGAAAGGTTAGTGACCTTTCTTCTAATTTCTTAATACTAATAATAATAGGTACTATTTATTGAGTGCTAATTACTCTCCACTTCACAGATGAAATACTAGGGCCTGGGGAAGTTGGTTAAGTAACTTCCCTCAAGGCTACACAGCTTATTAACGGAAGAGCCAAATTTGAACCTGATTTTCTCTAACTTCACATCACGTGACTTTAAACCCTATACACAAAGCCTCCGAGGACATAGGGTTTATCAAGGACTTTCCTGTGTGAATGTCCAAAGCAAATTCAATCTCAAAAAGATGTTCCTATGAGCTCCTTAAATCAGGGGTTTCTGTCACAACACTGCATTTATTTTCAGTATATCTCTTCAGCCTAAAAGTTAGTTTTTTGCTTTGAGTACTGTACATGAAATTTTTTCCAGTGTGATTTAAGTTTCTTAATATTTACTATTAATTTCTAATTACACAGATTTTCATACTCTGTTGCATACTTTTTTTTTTTTTTTTTTGGATCCAGTGTGTGCCCTCAGTGAAGGGCTTTCAAGGACATCATACAATTAAGTCTACCCAAGTTTAAAATGTTACTAGTATCAGCATCAATCAGACCTCTCCTCAATTTTCAGTTTTCTCTTTCCTTTTCAACAGATGTTGGAGCATTTTTTGAAGAGGGGATGTGGCTACGGTATAACTTCCAGGCACCAGTGCCCAGTCCCAAAGACTCGGGCAGCAGAACAGAGAACCCTCCCGACCAGCAGAACTCCGTCCCAGACCTGGCACATGAGGAGATCCGTTTCAGTTTCAGCACCACCAAGGCACCCTGCATTCTCCTCTACGTTAGTTCTCTCACCACAGACTTCTTGGCAGTTGTCGTCAAACCCACCGGTAAGGAAAAGGACACCTACCCTCCTGCCGTTCGATGTTGTGCAGACAGAATGTTCTAATAAGAGTCTGGATTGTTTTGGCTTGCTCTTTATTCCCTACAGGATGTTGAGCAAATCACATAACTTCCTTGAGCCTCATTTCTCCGTATGAAAGTCAGGAAAACAATCTAGCTGAGTGCTTTAAAGCAATGTGTTATGGTAATAATGTTGATAAGGTAAGACGAGTCCTTTAAAAGAACCATATTACAGGCTGACCCCATGGCTCACTCGGGTGAGTGCGGTGCTGGGAGCGCAGCAGCATTCCCACCGCAGGTTCGGATCCTATATAGGGATGGCCGGTGCGCTCACTGGCTGAGCGCGGTGCGGGCGACACCAAGCCAAGGGTTGCGATCACCTTACCGGTCACAAAAAATGACAAAAAAAAAAAAAAAGAAGAACCATATTACGTGAATGTGAGATGGTTTCCTATGTATAATAATTATTTTTCTATCAAATAAATACATTCACTACTGTACTAAGATGAGCTCTAAGTAGTAAGATTAATTTTGTCTAAATCAATGAATTATCCTGATTTATGATAGTGTATCAGTAGCTTCCTACAGGACATATGAACTTTTTTTATTTTTTATTTTTTTCCTTTTTTTGTCTTTTTTCGTGACCGGCAATGGATCGCAACCCTCAGTGTCACGCCCGTACCGGACCAGGACTGGCAACGGGATCGCAACCCTCGGTGTTGCACCCGCACCTCGCTCAGCCAGTGAGCGGCTGGTCTGTATGTGGGATCCGAACCCTCGGCAGGAGCGCCACCGCGCTCCCAAGCGGCACACTGTAGCAGTGCGCCACCGGGCCGGCCCAGGACATATGAACTTTTGATAGAAACAGAAAATCAGAGATGTTTCATTCCTAAGCCTTCTCAGGATTTTATAGTCACAAAATAGATCTCTGGCATAGGGTTGCTTAAAGCAGGGTTGTGTTTTCTCTTGTAATTTCCTGGGCCATCTTGACCATCAAATATGCATTGAGCCAGAGAGGATCTGAGGGCTATTAAAACAGGCATCCTGGTGAGAATATACAAATGGGCTATAACCAGTCCTTCAACCGTGATCTCTGAAGTCTAAGCAGTCCTGAAGTGTATAAACATGCAAACACTGAGGAGTCTATTTCCTCTCCGAAAACTTGAGTTCACACATGCTTAAAGTTTTAAGATCACTTTTTTTGCAAATACAAATAGTTTAGGTGTATGAAGGAACAAATCTTTCTAACTCACTTCCTGTAGAGATTGCACGAGCTGAAAACCTGGAGGTGTTCTCTCCCGTTGCCCATCTGTTCTTACTCTGCAATGATTATTCCAGTGTTGTAGCATCTTAAAGATCAATAGTTTCTTCCATTCCAGGGAAAAATTATTATTATTAACCCAATTCAGCTTGAGTTTAAAAAAAATAGTAAATTCATAAACTCCATTTCTGGGCAATGCACTGTTGGTTAAAAAGATGTGGAAAAAATATGTTCCTTAGGACTTTCCCTTTCAGAAATGACTTCTGAAATAATTAGAAATAAGCCAAAAGTCAAAGAACCTGCATAAAGGTGTTCATCATAGCATTATTTATGAAAATAAGAATCATAAAGAAACCAGTAGTTCAACTTTAGTAAAATAGTAAAAGAGGGAGTCACCATTTTATGGAATATTATGTATTGATTAAAAATATATTTACTGTTGAAAGCTGTCAGAATTAAAATGGATTCACTTGTGTCAAACCTTGACAAATGGACCCAGGGAAGGCCATAAAGGGAGGAGTGTTCTCATGCATGAATGCCTGATAACAAGGAATGTTCTCATGCATGAATGCCTGATAACAAGAACTATCACAAAGGACTCTGCAAAAAACACAACCTTGCACAAAGGCCGTTGCAACCTTACACAAAAAACATACTTCTGTGAGTACATCTGCCCAGCAACTGCCTATCCAGTCTTGGACTGGAATCACCCTTATTATTGATCCTGTAGCCAAGGATTATTGTTTTGAAACAATTTGTGTAATCCTTCCTATTGTGCCTTTAAAGGCTTCCTCTTGCCCCATCCTCCTTAGATAGACACACATGGTTTACTATGGCACACATATTCCCATTGCCATGCCCGTTCATGAATAAATGTCATTTTCTTTTAGAGAGTCTCCCTTTCTGTCTATTACTTAAGTTTGACATTAGGAAGAGTAACTAATGACACAGGGAAATTTTATGTAATAAAATGTTAAACTAAAAAAAAGGAAAAAAAAAAAGCAGGATACAGCCTGGAAAGTATAATATCAGCTTAGCTCTGTAAAAAAAAGTATGTATACATATGAATAGGAAAAGAAAACAATATGAGCACGCAGTGCTTGGTTGGATTGTGGATGATTGTTTTTTTCTCTTCTGTACATCTAACACTCTTCTGTATATGTCAAATGCTCACATTGTGCTGATGTCTCTTTTCTAATCAGAAAAAACAGTAAGTAAAATCAGAAAGTAAGGGTGCATAAGAGAAAAGTATATCACCCCTGCTCTTCAGGAGTTCACCAGCTTATTACTCCTGGATTAAGTTCAATAAGTTTTTAACCCACTAAAGTTTGGTCCCCTGCTGTATACTGAGCAACTCACGTTCCCTTGCCTACACCCCCACTGTGTGCACTCATGTGTGTGTGAATGTGCATTTGCTGTGTACAGTTAATCAATTTGATTAATCAATTCTACGTTAATGGCTGCAATACAATGGTGCTCACTGAGTCCTATGTGCCACACAACTCTATGAGGTACTCTTGTCATCCCCTTTCATCAGATGGTAAAACTGGAATGCAGAGAAGTTAAATAACTTGCACACTCCACTGGTGATGGACAAAGCAGAAAATTGTAGAATATCCCTATTAAGCATGCAGTGGTGCCCCCTTCCCATGGTAAATATAGTTGAGATTCCCCAATCCCACAACCTTCCAGTCAGGACCTACCAGCCTCATGGGTAAGATCTTGGACAGTAGAGCCAGACTGTCTGGGTTTGAATCCTGCTTCTGCCTTTTGCCAGATGCCCTGGGCAATCAGTTAGCAGCACCATGCCTCAGTTTCCTCATCTGTAAAATAATGCCTCCCTCATAGGAGTATCGTGAAAATCAAATGAGTTAATACACCTAAAGCACTATATGTTATGCATATATATGTATAATGACAATACATAAGTGTTAGAAGTTATTATTACCCAGATTCCACTAATTTAATCTATATGTTGCCACATAATCAGCATCCCCTACTCTTCATGTTCGAGAAACTCATTACTCCGCAAGCTCTCCATGGACATCTGTGCCCCATCCTTCTGTCCACGACGTGCTCTCACCTGGACATGCTCCGTCTTCCTCTCTAGTCTAATTCCTGCCTTTCATTCTAGGCCCAGATCCTAGATCCCAAGTCCCACCTCTTTTCAACAACTTCTCCTTGCTTTAAACTCCTGTTACACTTATTTTCAATGTCACTTGTTTGGCACTTAATGTACTGTATTGTTATCTGTCTCCATTATAAATATGCCCTGTCTTCTCAGAGAGATGAAAAGCTCCCAGCACTACGTCTCCTGCCTACCAGAAGCACCCTGGAAGTGTTTGCTGGTGATAATGATGATGACCAGGAGGGAATAAATCTGTTAGGGACATTATTTGCTGCAGCCAATAAAAGAACAGTCCCTTGTAACTGCTTTAATTTACTCAGGAGATGAATGTGAGATACAAGACATGAAGTATCTCTCCATTTGAATACTATTTTACTCTAATGGACAAATATTAACATTGTCCTTACCATCATTCAGTGGTCCTCTTCTGCTATTTTTTAAAAGGAATAAATATATCATGTAAATTTTATTATTTAAGAATATTGCCATTACTGTTTATAGATATTCACTATATATAAATTTAAAGTTCTGACTCATCTTTTTTTCTCAAAGCAAATAATTTTTGTTATCATGCAGTGGAGCAGTCATAGGAATTTTAAATCATATTTACAAAGCCCAAGGAACCAGAAAAGATTTTTTAAAAAATGAAAACAACTTACTACTTATTTTAATAGAGCTGGGGAACATAAAGGGACCAATGACAAAGGGACAGTAGGGAGAAAAATGTCCAGCTTTCTGCATCATCACCACTTCCTCTGGCCTCTAGCCCTCAAAAGCAGAACCCTCTCCCAGTTACCTTTGTTTCCCTAGAACCACGCCCAGGGCCTGACCCATGCAAGAGGATTGGGATGATTGTGTGTATTATAAGCGGACTTGGAACCAGACAGACCACCCACTTTCAGACCTTGAAAAAAGCTGTGGTTTGCACAGTAACTACATAGATGTGTTCTAAAGAAATTAATGAATCAATATAGCTGTATATTTAAGAAAACTGGCTGGAATTTTATGATATCAGGACACCAGAAGTAAAGCAGACAGTAAACACTCAAGACAATCAACTGCCTAATGATCTCCTTCACTCACAAACAGTGGACTGTTTTTAATGCTATTAGGGTAAAGGAAAAAATAGGGTGAAACATAGAGGGGTGGAGAGAGAAGCAGCTCAGGGAGAGGGAGCAGCATATTCAAAGGTCCTGTGGTAGGAAGGAGAACTGTCTTTTCTAGGGACTAAGAGAAGTTCAAGGTAGCCTGAATGTAAAAAGCACGAGGGTGACGGCATGATCTGAAAATAAAGTAGCGGGTAGAACTCCAGTCAGACAGGCATCATAAGCTATATTAAGAAAGTAAATCTTTATCCTGTGAGCCTGAGCAACTGGAAGGCTTTGAAGGGTTTTCAAGGAACCGGTGAAATAATCACTTATGCATTTTGAAAAGATCTCTCTGTTTGCTTTGAAAAGAAAGCATTGGGAAGAAGAAAACACAGAAGCAGGAAGATCATTCATTCATTCATTCAGCAAATATTTATTAAGCACCTACTATGGATCAGGCATTATTCTAGACATTGGAAATAAAGTCATAGAGAATAAAAACAAAAATTCTTGCTCTCATGAAGCCTACATTAAAAACAGATTAATTAAGAATGTTGCGTGGTAAGAACTGTTATGGGAGGAAAACTGTGAAGGCAGAAAAGAGAGAGCCTGACCAAGGGAAAGGAGTAGGTAAATGTCACTCTTAATAAGAAAGTCAGAGAAATAATCACTGAGAAGATGGCATTTGAGCAATGACCTGAAGGGTGCTCATGGAGCCGCATCGGCCAGAAGGAATCCTTGTGAAATCACACGAGGGCACTACAGGTGCCAGTGGAAGCCCTGTGGTTACCGAGCAAGAGAGTGGGTGAACTGAGATAAATTTAGGGGATGAAAATCAACAGTGCTTGGTTGAAATGCTATAAGCAAAGGAATCTAGGATAAAATGCTAAGGTAAAACTCAGAAATAGTGAAGGTTTGTTGAATTTTGTTCAGAAAATAAAAATAGGAAATGCAATTAATTTCTGATCATTCTAATGAACATTTCATTCAACTCCAGGAATATTGCCTGTCATTGTTGGGAAGAAGCAAGGAGGAAAAAAAAAATACATTGTTGAGGCAACGTGAACTATAATCAAGGGGCAAAAGAGGGCTCGGGGACCTGGGAAAACCAACTTTTCCTTTAATTTGCATTTCGCTAGTCTCTAACCTAGAATAAAATTTGTTAACCTTATTTTCTCAGTCTCAGTGGGGTCACCCAGAATTCCATGCATTCATCTTTGGTAAATATTGTTTATTTTTAATATTGTATACTCATGATTCTTTTATTTGCCAAATGTTATACTTTGCCAATGGATCAAGACTGTCCCCGCACGTTGCATTTATTTTTTATTTCACATCGTGGTTGGTGGCCCCGCTGGCGTCCCCATGGTCCTATATGTTGTGTGTTCTCGTCCGTTTCCAGGCACGATCCCAACTTGGATCATTTATACCATTTGCTGCTTCAACGTTGAGATAATGGTCGCCAAGGTTCATTGTTGGCAGATTGTAAATACGTGTGGGCCTGGTGCTCTTCACCCATATGGATCAGTAGACCTCTGAGCTAGTGAATCTGAATTCAGAACAAATGGTGTCAATGCATATCAGGGAGGGAGCAGAGTTTAATAGAAACCTAAGCAGCAGGGGTGGGGAGAAGTGACATTAAATCCGAACCTAGAGCAAAGCAATCACTGCGTTTCTTTCTTTTTCTTATATAGGAAGCTTACAAATTTGGTACAACCTGGGTGGCACCCGAGAGCCATACAATATTGATGTCGACCACAGGAACTTGGCCAATGGACAGCCTCACAGCGTTAACATCACCCGGCACGAGAAGACCATAATGCTCAAGGTACACCTATGTGTACATGTAAATCACTCAGCATCCAGTATGTTGGTCTCTATCCCCTGTCATGCTCGGCCATTGGCTTTGTTTGGGGGAGGGGGCAGCTGCAAGAGTTGCTTACGTTACTTTCTCCTACAAGTGCTTAACTAGTAAAGTAGAAAGATATAATATAGTTCTGGCATCAAAGGCAATGACAGAGTTGGTGAATAAATTTTTTAGGGAGAAATAGCATAAGTGTTTACTCTTATATTCTTTGTGGCTATTCCTGTTTTAGAATCACGGATCTATCAGCCTCCTGTTTTTACCCATCGCGCTGTCTTTTTTTCACCGCACTCTCAGATGTCTGAAGTTTATCATATTTCCCAGCAAAGGTTATTTGGGTTTATCTGATCTACTTTTTTCACTCCTCCAACATGATATGATGAACTTTATTTTTTCTCTGTGGACTCTTTGTCTTAAAAAAAAAGATCAAATGTTCACATCACAGTCTCTCCCCAAAATCTCTGAACTCCAGTTATAGGATTTCGGCAAAGGGACAGTTTCAAGGGCCAGCCCGTGGCTCACTCGGGAGAGTGCGGTGCTGATAACACCAAGGCCCCGGGTTCGGATCCCATATAGGGATGGCCGGTTAGCTCACTGGCTGAGCGTGGTGCTGACAACACCAAGTCAAGGGTTAAGATCCCCTTACCGGTCATCTTTTTTTTAAAAAAAAAAAAAAAAGGGACAGTTTCAAGATGACACTCAAGTTTTATTTCAGGTTCATTATTGCCCCTACCCCCACCACCAGTTTTCACAATGAAGAAGCCAGCCTCGGAGACACCATGAATAAAACATGATGTGAAGAGGTCTCCCTGGGAACTGAGCCAAAGGGTCAAGGATGGGAGCTGTCCTTGCATTCTCTAGAAGGAGTTCAAAATAGATACCTGTCAGGAAAAAGAGCAGCAGGAGGATGCTGTTTTGTCAGTAAAGTGGCGTGTCATTTGGCAGGGGCTCAGCAGCCTCACGGACCTCATTCAGATTCGGCTGGTTGCTGTGGGAAGTTCAGGTTGCAAAGAAAAGACACAAGCCCTGTCTCTTTTGAGTACTGGTGGGTGTCAGATTCATAATTTGATAGGCAGTTGCATGTGGCCTTTAGCAGTAAATACTATGGGACATCATAAGGAGAGGTCTTTCCTAGGAAAATGACAACATGCTGTTACGGTCATTGTGCCGTCAATCAAAGGCGGTGGAAATAAGGTTATCTCATAGTGACAGACATTCCCTGAACCCAGCACTGTGCCTGGCACACGTCCTTAGGAGCTGCAAGTTATTTATTGGGTAAACCAAGCCCATCTTTAACCATGACTCAAGTTTTAGAAAAGCCACCAAGACCAGGAGACAGATTTTTTTAATACCATTCTGTCAACATTGTATTAGTTGTCTTCTTTTAACCTCTTAGTTTAAACCACCGAGTGTCACCTCTTTTAAAGAAAGTGGCTTATCTTGCCATTTCACCATTGCAAAATTGTGTTAAAAGTTAAGAAAAACCTAAACAATTAGCTTTAAAGACAGTATAACAGAAGAGACTCACCACAGCTACAGCATGTTATAGGGTTAACCCCACTTTACCACAGTGAATTAGAGGTTGACCTGAGGAAAGGGAGAGGAGTAGACTATTTTTTGAACTTGGGTTTTGGGGGCACAGAGAGCCAGAGAGCCAGATATTGGAGGAGCCAGAGAATTGTAGAGAATCCAGAGGACTGAGAGGATTTGGAGGAGAGTCTGGTTCTATTGCTCAGGGTTATTTTGGTTGCAAATGACAGACAATTCAGAACTAATTCACAGGGGCAAATTCTTAGGATGTGTCATAGAATTATAGAATTTAAGAAATAGAAAAACAAAACTTGAGAAGAGAATCCAAGGAACTTGAAGGATTAGACTATGAAATAAAATACCACTGGGTCAGTTCTCTCTCTCTCTCTCTCTCTCCTCTCTCCCTCTCTCCACCTGACTTCTTCCCTTCCTTCCTTTTTTCCTCTCTCATTCCTGCCTCTCACTGAGGACTGGGTTAATTACCTGTTACTACAAGCCCCATCTTTTACATATCATGGGACACAGTCACAGGAGTACTGGGCTCATGTCTTCCCAATTTTGCCAAAAGAAGAAAGGGCCCTAGTTTCTTGATTCTCATTTTCAAGTCCTGGAGAATCTCTGATCGGCCTGGCTTGGGTCATGTGCTCCCCCTTTTGGGAGGGGAGGGGAGCAATGAGCAATGACAGTCCCTGACCACCTCTCATGATCAGAGTGGGGAGCCAGAGAAACTGCTCCCAGAGAACAGAACACAGTTCCAGAGAAAGGAAGGAGACTCGACGGGTGTGAAAAACACTGGACACACAATGCTCTGAGGTAGGGGCAGGGGCAGCTCGCCCAAAAGCAAGAAATGGATTCCACCATAGGAACTGCAGCCGCAGGTGGTGGGAAGCCCTGCCCTCTCTCTTGGTCTGTCCTGCAATGTCGTGCACCTGTGCTGAGATTTCTGGAAATGTTTAGAAAGCCAGATGCCTTGAGCTCTTGAGTGCAGCTAGGAAAGATGTCAGGGTCTGGGGACACCCAGTCTTTCTCAGCTGAGCCTCTCCCATCCAGCCCAGGGTCTCCCAGATGCCCTGCCCTCCCCTGAGGGGAGAAGGAAAATAAAGATCGAATGGGGTAAAAGAAGAAAAGATACAGCTCCTCCTTATAAAGAAGTAGGTCCCACAATTCCTCACCCCCAGGCCTTGCAGAGCATGAAAGTAACCCGAGAGTACCTTTAGAACTCAAAAAATCACTGTAATTTTTTCCTTAAGACCATCTACAAATCCATCTCGAGAACATCTACAACCTCAACAATGTGTGGAAAGAGATGTGGTAAAATGTTAATAGTGATCATTTCTATGTGAAGGCATTATATATAAAGGGTTTTATTTCCTCTAGAGATTTCTGAATTTTCTCATTTTCTATTAAAAGCTTGTGTTGCATTTTTATAATTGATCAGAAACATGAAATGTGATATGAGATATCCTCAGTATGAAATATGAAATATCCTTATCCTATTCTGATATCCCCCAGTTGTAATAAAATATGATAGCAAAGATATTTAACAATTTCAAATTAAAATTTGCTTATAGTCAAAGAACAAAAATAAGGCTAATTCAAAGATGTTTAACAAGTGTATGGAATGATGCTTCTGGAATTAAGGTAAATTTTTGCACATTTATACATGCTCAAATGTCATATAATTTAGATTATATTTATCAGTGTTTATATGGTGTTTTTTAAAAGTAGGTTTACTTTCTAGCTGGGTTTGGCTAATGCCAATGTTAAATTAATTTGCATTCCCTCAATGCACACCCTCTGAAACGGTGCTCAGCACTTGAGGGAAATTGACCTTGAATGAGACATTTGCTGCCAAAAACAAAGTTCCCGATCCCCTTGTAGGTAATGAAGAACTGACTCTAATAGTTATCAGACACCAGAACCCATGACAGCCCTCAAATGGCATCATTTATGAAAACTCAGAGTTCCATCAGGGATAATAGCTTAAGGCTTAATGCCAGTCAAAGTGTAAACAAACCTAGTGCAAGCAGAGATCACCTGAAAAGGTCCTGGAAGAGATGAGAAGGCATGCCGATTAGCATGAATCCAAAACCCAGACATCACAATCAACAATTCCAAAGTCCTTTGTGACTAAGCCTTTCTTCTTTCCTTCCTTCCTTCCCACCGTCCATGGTTTTTCCTTCCTGCTTTTTTCCTCTCTTTCTTCCCAACCACATCACCCAAGGGGTCTAAGGGGGTTTACAGGGAGTACATAAAATGAAATAGAGAATTAAAGTAACTCGTAAAAAGGCCTCAAGACAAGAGGAAATAGAGAATAATTATTCAGATCATAAGGTCTTACCCAATTGCATAAATTTGACTTCTTGGTGGCCAGAAGTACACAACGAATAAGGATTTTAAAAAAATGCCAGTTTCTCTAGAAAACTGAATCTTTTCTTACTATCTTGTTCTTTTTATTTACTTTAATTCCATGGATTATATTTACTGCCATAGGAAACTGCCCACAGCATTGCCCCCATATGCAGTATCACATACATGACACGGCTCACATGTATGGATGCTGACGGTGTTCCAGGCACTGTGCTAAGCGCTTTATGCACGTTTGCTCATTTAACCCTCACAAAAACCTCATGAGCATGTGCCATCATCATCCACATTTAGGACAGGAGGAAACTACAGCTCAGAAAGTGCGAGGTAGCTCACCCAAAGTTAGAAAGCCGTGGGTAGCAAAAGCATAGTTGGACCAAGTTGTCTCCCAACTTGAAGTGTACACATGCTCTTAACTCTTACTTAATAGAGATGTCTGTGAGGATGTTCACAAAATTTTTTAAGTGGATACCTCTGGCTGGTAAGAAGTTAAGTGATATTGTTATTAATATAAAACAGCTCAAAAATATGAAAAAGCACAGAGAATAATAAAACAAATACCTATGTGCCCATCATGCAAATATTACAAATTTTGACATTTTGCTGTATTTCTTCAAATTTTTTAGAAATGCAGAGATAGCTGAAGGCCCTTTGTCCTGCCTGTTACATAGTGGGCCCTGAGAAAAGTAGCAGAGAATGTCTTCAACAGCGTTTCTGCAGCCAATGTGTTTTTCACAAGGCTGTGTGATGTGGCATCTCCTTCGGAAAGTCAGGCATAAGTTCAAAATGGAATTTAGCCCATACACTTCTGTAGAGAGTGGGATGGAATGGGAGACGGGCAGATGAAGGCGTAAGAGCTGCGATGAGGCAGCTTTCTGATATTCTGACCTCATCCAAGGGTAAAAGTAGCTAGAAAACAAAAAATGAATAATCTACATGTTCTTTGAATAATTATCCATAGTATCACTTATTTGGGGGTTTTGATGGCAGTTAGACAATAGAGAATTCAGAGATATATTCTCTGGCATAGACACTCAGAATCTGTATTCCCTAAAAATCAAATGAAC